TAGTATTACCATACATATGAGATTCACGACAATTGCATTTTCAAAATATTTGTTAGCTAATTTACGCTTCTAAAAGAGGACAATAAATTAGGGTTATAAGTTAAAAAAGCTAGTAACGCAATTTGATACCGATGAACGCAAACTGGAATCATACACTAAAACATAGCATCAAATAACAATAGTCTTTATTACCTGATCTTTGCAATATCAGTGAAGAATTAAAGATGCTAATAAGATTTGGAAGGCTTGAAAAGAGTTTATCTTGAAGCTTTCACCGATGATCGTCTCCAGTGGTTCAACAAAGGACACCAGACAGCAGTAGTGAGCAGCGGCTTGAGATTTGAAAATAGTTTTCCCCCCAACAAGTTTTAGGGTTTACATTTTCATTTGGGTTTAAATTAATTTGGGGTTTAAATGTATATGGTTTATATTTTTTAATAGATCAGGGTTAAAAAATATTTAGGTTTTAAAATATTAATGGTTGGGTCTTAATAATTTTAAATGTGGATAGAGATTGGGCTGAATATAAACGAACGAACATAAATGAACAGATTATTGGACGTTCACAAACGTAAATGAACGAATTATCCCTTTGTTTGTGTTAGTTCGTTTAATTAAATGAATATAAAATATTATTCATGTTCGTTCGTTTAATAAACTTCTCGTCGAATGGTTCACGAACAATTCATTGAATGTTCAATTCATTTATAGGCCTATACTTTTGCTTCAAATTAGGAGGAGAATATACGAGATAAATTTATTCTTTATGTCGTATTAATATTATTTTATATTGACCAGACGTATAATTTTAAAAGATAAATTTAACTATTATAAAACTGATAAAATTCATATTAAAAATGATCAATAAATTTGATATATTCATTTTGATAAATATAAAAGAATGAGATGTGTAAGAGTGAAAAATGGAATATAAATGTTGTTATTTGTTGACTTTTTTTAATAGAATATTTTTAAATGAACTAATTTTAAAATTCAAAAGGGATAAATTCAATGACATAAAGAGTATAAATTATGCTTATTGGAATACATGGTTGAGAGTAGGGATGGGCAATGAGATGTGTAAGAGTGAAAAATTGAATATAAATATTGTTATTTGTTGACTTTTTTTAATGTTTAAAGGGGATAAATTCAATGACATAAAGAGTACAAATTATGCTTATTCGAATACATGGTTTAGAGTAGAGATGGACATGAGACTCGAATTTGATGGTTTCCGACATGACTTGAATTCGATAGGTTATAACCCGACCCAACCCAATTAAGTTGGGTTTTTCAAAAAAAAATTGAGTTCGAGTCGGGTGGAGTTTTTAGAGAATAAATTCAGGTCGGATCGGGTTTGGTTTTATGGTGAAAAATACTCGAGCTGACCCAAAAATTAATAAATTATATATTATACATTTATGGATAATTGCAATAATACCCCTTTATATTATTTTTCAATTAAATCCCTATTTTATTGAATAAAATTAATAATTTTATATTATTTCAGGACGAGTCGGAATTAGATTTTATCTCAAAAGTCGGGTCGAATTTCAAATCAGGTAAAATTACCTTAAACATAAGTCAGATCGAATTTCGAGTGAAGGGTATAAAAATTTTGGGTCGAGTTGCTTTGACTGAAAACCTGATCTAGTCTGACCCATGCCCATCTCTAGTTGAGAGTAGTCAATGATTGTCTCTAAGACTCGCCGACAGATCATGAACTTATATGTATTATTACTCTAATTTTTAATTTATTAGAATTTATTAAGGGATCTTAGTAGTCAAAAGGGAGTATTATTTTTTTTTAGAGGTATGGAATTTAAGCAGCTATTATAGGATGTATGCATATTATCAATAATTAAAAAAGATTTTGAATTGATATTATCTTATAATCATTGTATTATTAAAATCAAAAAATACATTTTTTCTATTTTCTAATTTATTAATAATACAAGTTATTGGGTTACCCGTGAACTGGGAAAATGTATGTTTATCCAAGAAAGGATCCCAGATGGACCCTTTCCCAATTCGGATGTAATCTGGAAACCAATTTTGGATTACAAAATTTGATGCTAAATCACCATCATTTTGAAGCCAAAATAAATAAATACAAGAGTAAACTAAACAAATAGTCACCAAGTTTTAAGTTTTTGGCTTTTCCAATGAACTTTCAAAAGTTATAAATTGGTCACTAATGTTATGATTTATAACAAATTGATCACTAACGTTATTGATTTGTAATAAATTGCTCACTCGATGTTAACGTGAGTGACAGAAAGTTGAGTTGGACCTTTAACTGCTACCTAGTTTGTTGACCAGTCAACTCTTCAACTTAAAGTTATATTCAAACTCTGAAACAGGGTTTCAAATCACGGTCGTGGTCGTGTTTTCAGTCATGTCCCGTTTACCGCGATTACCGCCATAGTGAGCGCTATTACGGCCATAGCGGGTATATCGGAAGGCATCGCTACCACTATTTCGCGGGTTCTATCGCGACCGCATACCTTTATTTAAAACCCTACTCCTCCGAAACACCACGAACTCTCTCTCCTATTCAAAGTGTATCACATGTTCTCTAAAATAAGAACATGTTTTGTTGTTTCTTCTGCAATAAACTGAATGATGAACCAATACTATGATACCTCTTCGATTCTGACTCAAATTTTGTAGTCGCAAAGGATTTTGAATAAGTTGATTAAAAGATTCGGCGATGAACTCTCTTCTATTGCTATGCTCATCGTTCCTGGTGGTCAGTAATGGCTAGTGGAATTATGGAAATATAACAAAAAGATATGGCTTGACAGTGATTGGAATATGTTTCTTGAATATTATTCCATCTGCATTGGTTCATCATTCAACTGGAAACGTCTCAATTTTTGGATGAATTGGAAGAACAATATCATGATTAACAGTTTTCTTTGAGTCAAAGTCCCTCTCAAGAACCTGATGTTCCAAGTTATTCCCTTGGTCATCTCCTAGTTTAGAACTTCCAAAACTCTCGGAAGTTCTAGTCTTTGTGTTCTGCAAGTCTTTTAGGGTTCCTTGATCTGTTGATACATCATCTAGATTGTCTTCGTTGTTATAACTTCCCCATAATTCTAAATTTATATCACTAATCACTAAAAAAAATAGGTTTTTAGTGGCTTTTTTTAGTCTTATAGTGGCATTTTTAAGCTCTGCTAAAAACACTAATGGCGCTAGTAAGATCGTCACAAGAAGCATCGCTAAAACGAACGTCGCTAAAGTTAACGCCGTTTGTGAACCTAAAAAGCCGCAAAAGGTCGAGTTATATAGTGCCGCTTGTTCAAACACCGCTATATGTTATGATTTATATTGGCATTTTTGGCCACAAACGCCGCTAATTCTATTGTTTTTAGTGGCATTTGTAATACAAAATGCCACTATATAGTATGATTTATACATAGTGGCATTTTTACCATACATGTCGCTATTTGCAAAAGGTTAGCATATGCAGGTTTGATTGGGTTACTCTTCGTTGAACCCGTAAATTGTTGATCATCACTATCTTAATCCTTAAACTTTTATAAATGCTAATATAGTATTATTTTACTAATGTGTTTAAACCATAGGTCTGATGACATTATTTAAAGAGCTGGTAATGGCAATTGTTATTTTGCTGTAACCAAAGGCCTACTTCTCTCAATCAACATTCTTTTCAGAGCTAGAGAATATGAAGGTAAGTAATTTATTAAAGAAAACAATTTATCATCATTCATCGTACATGATATCTTTAAAGAATATTAAGTTCAAAGCTAACAAACTAAACTTTCATAGCTTTAAAGAATATTTTTGCACTCCTTAGATCCCTCATAGCTTTAAGCTGCCTGAAGTATACGCGAGAATATTTTTCATTACATGATAGGGTATCAAGTGGAGCACATAGCATTGCGTAACTTAGAACTAGCTCTTACCAAGTTCAAGGATTGGTGGAACAAATTTCAAACATTGAAATGCCACCTGATATTAAATAATGAAAAATTAGAATCTTGAGAGCAAACACAACTTGGTAACGATGAGGCAAAAGTCATCCAAATCAGTAAGATTTTGTCTACCTTTCACAAAGAGTGATAGAAACTAAAGATTATACATACCGTAAACTAAAGACCAAAAATAGTATAACCTAAACTGGAAGAGAAAAAGACTTAGAACTGACCTTTAAAGAATGTCTTCTTGTCACATAATTAGAAGATGTCAAGAGCTTTTCATACATATCGAAGAACTAGAACAATGTAACCTCATTAGCAAGCCAAAAGAGAAATGGAAAAATCAATATTTCAACAAACTTAAGGAAAAACGATATCTTCACAACTCTACACACCATATGTAGATTCGTCAGGAGTAGTTTGATGTCATTTACCAAAAGGGTATATGTGTGTATATATATATATTAAAAAGAATATTCTTGAAGAAATTTGTTAGTTCAGCAGGTTATCTAGTGAAACCTTTGATCAGCATATATCAAAGGTAAGAGCTAACGAATGAAAAACCACAACAATATATTTTTGTTGCGATATAAGACATACATCAACAATTGAATCAACACAATAGAAAAATATAAGATCGAATCAACATGATAGAGTAACGAGAGTTAGTAGCAACCGGTATAATGACATGAAGATATCGTAGAACATCTATTTTAATTATGAATCATCGAAATGGAAGCTAAGGGTTTTAAACTTGGAAAATTTTAGGAAAGAGACGATGATTTACAGAGTATCGCTCCTGATCATTCCCCAAAACTCAGTGCAAAGTGGACCTGGGCACATCTAAAAACCAAGTAATTAGTTGTGAAGGATAAGAAACATGGTTACAAGAAACAAATCAAAGAACCAAAACCGAGTCTAAAGTTTTTCAACAACTGTTGAACACATAACGCCCCTTAAAACTCATCATTCATCAATTACTCTCATTGTAAGTAAATGCAGTTTGAACCATATTTACAAAAGACATATGGAAATTACTTGAATATACAGTTACTCTAGCTCTCCAGCATGTCCCAGAGATTAACTATAAAAGCTCTATAAAAAAACACATTTTAAGCATGTTACGAAGTTAATTAACAATGCAGGGGTAGCAATTCAAGAAGATAAGCAAAAATATGCACAGTAAATAATGGGAAATCAATCGCTTGAAAATTGATATCGAGTGTTAAATGCAGTAAAACCAACTCCATATTTCTACTAGAATGTCTAGAAAGTAATTCGAAATGTGTTAAAAATCAACCCCAACCCATTACAAAGCACAACTTACCCAAATAAATTTGATGTCATTGCTTACATCAATTTAGGTAAAGATGTCATTGCTTACATCAATTTAATGGAGTAAGTGGAGTGGGTGGTAATAATGTATGGCTATGAATATTTCTCAATTTAATATTTGTATGGTGTAGGTTGCATGGTGAGAACTATAAACACCCCCTTGCATTTGAGCTATGCATCCTCCAAAAATTTGAGTGTAGTGTCTTGAGTATAAGTTGTGAGCTTTCTATTGAGTGTTTATTTCTCTTCAAATTGTGAGTGGTCTTTGGAAAGTGTTGTAGTGTCTTTTATTGTGGGTATAATACAAGTAATTTGTTTACTTGTTTGGGTCCAATATTAGTGAGGTTAGAGTTGTATACTCTAAATTTTACTCAACAATTGGTATCAGAGCCACATTTTAATGTCTCTTGAAATTTTGAGTACGCTCTGTGGCTGCAGTTTTTACAGATCTTCCACGCCATAAAATATTTCTTGAGATTATTGTCGGGGTTATTACAAACTTTGTGGAGCTTCTTTTTGTTTAGAGTAATTTAGTACTCTACAAGTTTATTCGGTGTAGTCAAAGCCTTGCCATTACTATGGGTGATCTTCAAGTAGTTGGAGGAATCAAGAAGTTCAACAACAAAAACTACAATACGTGGGCAACATGTATGGAGTCATACTAACAAGGTCAGGACCTTTGGGAGGTTGTCGATGGTGGTGTAGTTACACAACCGATGGTAGAAGATGCCAATGGCATCTTGCGAAAGTGGAAAATTAAAGCAGGCAAAGCGATGTTTTCTTTAAAGACCATAATTGAAGAAGAAATGTTGGAGCACATCCGAGATGTTAAAGCACCAAAGGAAGCATGGGACACTTTTGTTACACTCTTTTCAAAGAACAATGATACAAAATTGTAACTTCTCGAGAATGAGTTACTATCGATGGTGCAACGCGACATAACGGTTGCTAAATACTTTCACAAGGTAAAGTCGATATGCAGTGAAATTTCATATTTAGATCCGACAGCTCCTATTGTGGAAACCAGGGTAAAGAGAATAATTATCCATGGTTTGAGACCCGAATATCGAGGGTTTGTTACAGTTGTACAGGGATGGTCGACACAACCATCGCTTGTTGAGTTCAAAAATTTACTTACAGGTCAAGAAGCCATGGACAAGCAAATGGGAGGAGTCTCTCTAAAGGGTGAAGGGGAAGCGCTCTACACCAGCAAAAGTAGAGGCACTTTTCAGCGGTATACTGGCAGTGGATCTAAAAATGATGGTGACAAGGTAAAACATTACCAAGGAAAGGGAGGCTCTCATTTAGGGGGAGCTTCCAAGAATCACGGTAATAGTCGAAAGTTCGATGGCAAGTGTTACAACTGCGGGAAAATGGGTCACATGGCAAAAGATTGTTGGACCAAGAAAAATCATGTTGAAAGTAATATTGCTACTTCCAGCTCGAAGGAGAATAGTAAAGATGGTTAGGAAGATGAAGTATTATTCGCTATGGAGGAAGAAGAATTAGCTCTCATGGTAATAACACCAGAACGAATTGACTACGAGAATGATTGGATCATAGATTCAGACTGCTCAAATCATATGACGGGTGACAAACAGAAGTTGCAAAACCTGTCTGAGTACAAGAGAGGTCATGTGGTGGTGACAGCTGACAACTCAAGATTACCGATAACTCATATCGGTAAGACGATAGTTACGCCTCGATATAATTCTAACCAGGTGCAACTTCAAGACGTTTACCATGTCCCATGAATGAAGAACAATTTGCTATATGTGGCTCAATTGACATCATCAGGCCATTATGTCTTATTTGGTCCCCAAGACGTGAAGGTTTATCGTGACCTCAAAATATCAGAAACAGACAATAGAGGGGCAATGTTTAGAGTCAATCTACGTTATGTCAGCAGAGTCTACATATGTAGATAGGAAAAGAAAAGATGAGACATCAGATCTATGGAACATGCGGTTAGGTCACGTTAGCTATTCCAAGCTAAGTGTGATGGTGAAGAAGTCGATGCTTTGGGGTCTTCCTCAATTAGACGTGAGAACAGAAACGGTATGTGCAGGATGCCAGCATGGTAAAGCACACCAATTACCATATGACGAGTCAAAGTTTAAAGAATAAGAACCGTTAGAGTTAGTTCACTCTGATGTTTTCGGATCGGTTAAGCAACAGTCAATTAGCGGTATACGGTACATGGTAACATTCATTGATGACTTCTCCAGGTATGTGTGGGTTTTCTTTATGAAAGAAAAATCTGACACATTTTGTCACACCCCAATTGGTGGGGTTAGATTTCTTCAATTTTAAATATGGGAAATGAATAAACACAAGTGGGAAGAGTGGTTCAACCACTACAATTATTATTACTAATTTTATAATATGAAAAATTTAGAACCATAAGTGGCTAAGAGTTGGCACGAAAGAAAACAAAAGATTCCTAACAAGAAATCTATAATCTCAAATCCCCAAATCATGGTTTTATCACCCAATTCTACCCACTTTCCTCTTTGTTTCTTCGATGTAACTGCCATAGGCGCCATGCTATGGCGATCAACCCCTTGTATATCCTCCATGAACTCTCCAAACAAGTCAAAGACTCTAATCCCAAGCTTGTTGTAACTGTCCCAGAGTTGTTGGACAAGGTTAAGGGTTTCGAGTTCCCTGTAATTTTGCTTGGTCCTGGACGAAACCAACCACCATATGAAGTAAAATAATATCCCAAAGATACTGTCTTTTCACGATCTTCTGGATTTAGCGGGGGATGTAAAAGAATTTCCTATGATTTCTATTAAGCAGACTGATACGGCAACCCTTCTGACTCTTCAGGCACGACAGAGGTCGGTAAGGGTGTTGTTTTAACACACTGGAATTTCATTGCAGCGGCTTTGCTGGTAACCATGGATCAAAAATTTGCGGGGAATATGCATCGGGTTTACTTGTGTGTATTGTCAATGTTCCATGTGTTTGGGCTGGCAGTTATAGCTTACGGGCAGCTGCAGAAGGGGAATTTGTTGGTGTTAATGTCCAGGTTTGACTTTGGGATGTATTTGAGGAATATAAGAAGTATAGAGTAACTCATTTATGGGTTGTGCCTCCGATCATGCTTGCCATGGCTAACAGACTGTTGTTAACAAGTTTGATCTTTCTTTGGTGAGGCAAATCGGTTCTAGGACTGCTCTTATGAGGAATGAAATGATGGAAGGTGAAGATACACGATCTGTCTGGCTCGGCTGTTGCGGCAGCCTTCATAACTACGCCCTTTGTACCATCAACAGGTTGTGATTGGGTTGCCAAGTCCAACCCGGGAGCTTGGTTGATTCTTCGTCCCGACGCTTTAAGGCCAGAGAGCTGGTTGATTTGGGGAAAGCTCAAGCATTAACCCCGAACCCGAGCGGCTTTGTAATGAGCTAAAGAGTCCACGGGGAAAGTGAGAGCAGCAAATCGTCGGTGCAACTGGCCATGCGACATGTAACATGCATAGAGGATGTTGTCATATTCATGGCACTCGCGGCTGTCGTTGACCATAGCTTTGGTCTTTGGTTCATTGCCAAATGATACAACTAGATTTAATAATTAAGAGTGGTGCATGAAAGGGACACTCCATGTGGGTTAAGTGGCAATGCTTCACACATCAATTATTTGAAAAATGGAGTTATGATTCCCAAAAAGAAAAATCACGTGGTTGGTTATTAAAATAAGTGGAAAATCATCATGAGTCCTCAAAGCTTGGTAAAAACTTGGTCTTGTCTCATAGTTTCCTTTAGTTTTATTTTATAGCTCAGTATTGCAAATTAATTTGGTTCAGTCCCTAATTTTAATGATTAATTATTAAAGTATCCCTACAAGTATTCTATTATACTAATTGGGTTTCCAAATTATTATTTCAATTCTAATAAGCTATCTTTATGGTGAGGAAAATTATTTGGATACGAGTTAGTAATTTTGATGGTCTGGATCGAGAGGAAAATATTGGAAGTTGAATCAAAGATCGAGGGCGTTCGAATGGAATTTAATTGGTCGACCAGTATGGCACAGAAAATCGAGGTAATACTTTACTACCTCTTTATGCTTTATAGAACATGTTGGTATTGGTAAATGCATGAATGGAAATGTTTGGTCTCATATGTGTAATTAATGAAGATCTACACTTGATACGAATACGGTAGCAAGTAGGTAGCTAAATTTGGCACAGATGATTATTATAAGAGATTGAGGAATTGTTAGAATTAAATTACAAGTTATGTGCTTAGTGATAAAGAAATCAACATGGATTTGTAACTTATAGTTTATTTCATCAAAGATTAAATGTTAAAGGTATTTGGATGGGAAATTATGATAATACTCCGGTAGGGTAAAATTACAAAAATACCCTTAAGTTGTAAGATGTCAAGAATTGTCCCTGGAAGTTGATTAATAACTCTGAAAGGATATATTGATATGATAAAATTACAGATGTTCTTAAGAAATGCTAGATTTTGCTTACGAAATATGGATAATCGGTTTTTAAACACTAGAGGGTTTGTGCAAGATATTAGAATTCTATTAAGTAATCATTTCAAGATAAGAGAATTTCGAGAAAGCAATTGATCATAGGATCTCTAAATTATATTATGTTCGTTAAGAGCTAATATTGAAATTATCTGGTTAAGAAATTATGGAAATGCCCTTGAGAGGTAAAATAGTCCTAGTTAACGCTAAATGAGAAAATAATTTGAGGATTCGTACTTAACTCGATTAAGTAAAGATTTGATTGTTAAGATCCTGACTTAGTTCATGAAAATTCTTGATTTTCCGTTTGTAAAATCTGAGAAGACACTTGACCCGAAAATATTCGAATAATGAGTAAATACTTGAAGAGTAATTTATCGGGGGTATTATGCTGTCATAATTGTTTGAAAGGACTGAAATAAATGATAAGATTGAATTTAATAGTAAGATCGGACGGAATGAAAGGATTGAAATACGCTGAATCTGTACAATGACCAAAATACCCCTGTAATGAAAATGACCCAAGAATATCACCAAGCTCAGGAATGATTGGATATCCTCGAGCTCTGAAATAAATGGAATAAAACTGAACACCAAAATTACCAAAATAACCTTATGGCCTAAACTAAGTAAATACCTTGGATTAATTAAGGAATCCAAATAAGCATAGGTATTGGACTACCTTTAAAAGTTATGGAACATAACTTAAGTGAGCCGATCAACCTTAATAATATGTCAGTACCTGAACGACATAGATATTACTTGAATGCATGTTCGTCTACTCAAGTTTAGCTCAATGATAATTTTGTAAGTATTCAGCTCAGCTCAACTCTAGATTGCATTCGGTACTAAGAATTGGATATTTGTTCGACAAATCAACCACGAAGACTAAAATGAACTGAACGGAAGTACAATATGTATCTGAAATTCAGAAACATACGGAATTACTCTGGAAAATCCCGAAGTAACTGGAATAGACTTGAATGCTAAATGAACTAAGCAACCTCAAGCACTAAGGATTAAGTAAGTGATGTGAATGAGTCTGGAAACATTAATGAACATACACAATGTACTGTTCTTCTGGATCATGAATTACAAATCAAGCACGTCAGTATTTCATGATATATTAGAAGCGTAAAAATAAAATAAAGAAATTGGAAGATCTATTTAGTGATGATTCTAAAAATGATCTATGGACAAGAGTTTGTGGTATTAAAGAGTAAATACCCTGGAAGAACAATGAATTGATCAATCGACAAGCATTAATTTTGGGAGCTATTCATTTAAGAGTTGTTTGATAATCGATCAATCGACATAGATTGTAAATGTCCTGAATCTTCATTTCTTCCTTACAGCTCAAGTCATATTCTGAATAATTGATGATTTTATCAATTATTGAACTCTTCCAATAGTGATTCTGAATTCCGATATTCTATCGGTATACTGAATAACTGTGTTTCTCTGCCTGATACAGTACCTCTAAATAATACCTGTAAACTCTGGTGTGTTCCCTAATTATATAAATATTTTATCTGATTTCGAATTGAATTCTGTTCTGATACGTTATCTGAATTCTGTTCTGATTCTGATCTGGATTCTGTTCTGATATCTGATATGAATTCTGTTTTGATTTCTGATATCTCCGTTTACCGACGGAGAAATGTTTTATCTGGGGGGTTTATTGTTGGAGGAAGATTACTGCAGGCTCCTCGGCTGTGTGCTCAGGGCCTTACTGTTACTGGTTGTGCGGGGTGTATGGTTCCGGGGAACCTACACAAACAGATTGTGAAAGGATGGGGTGTATATATATATGCTTTAAAAAAATATGTATCTTTTTACTGGTTTTATGGGAACGCACTAGATAACCTGTTCTAATCTCCTGAACTCAGTCATCCGAAATATTTCTCTGACCTGAGAGCTCATTGTCCGTTACCACCTGAAATATTAGTAGGATCTATGTTCAGCATAAAAATCTGTAAATGTTCGGAAACAATAAGGAAATATATATTTATCTCTATCTGCACGTTCATCAGCATCATCTGGTAGTTCTGTATTACTGAGCTTTCCAAAGCTCACTCTATTACTCATATTTTCAGGTTAAAAGAATTGTACCAGTGTAGTTATCGACATCAGTAAGGGAGTTCTTCCGGCGTTGTTGCAGAGTATGGTACATGTGATTAGGGGGCATGTAATTGTATTTTGATTTATATACGAGTCTGGACGTCTGTTTTATTTTTAAATAGTGACAACTGATTTTATAAGTTACACGTTTCAATAAAAGTTTTAAATTTTCCGCTATTTTTTATAGTGGGTCGCTCCGGTGGCCCAAATGTGACTTCCTGGATCGGATCGGGCTACCCGCATCGGTCTGGGGGGTTTCATATTTTCAAAGTTTAAAGAGTTCAGAGATTTAGTTGAAGGAGAAGTGGGAAAGAATATATGTTTCTTGCGTACAGACAACGGAGGATAATATAGCTCAAACGAGTTCTCTCAATACCTAAGGAATGTCGAATACGTTATCAGTACACTTGTTCCAACACACCACAATAGAATGGTGTAGCGAAAAGAAAAAACTGGCATCTTGCAGAAATTTGTCGAAGTATGCTACATACAAAGAACGTACATAGTAGGTTTTAGGCTGAAGCAATGACGACTGCAGCCTTTGTGATCAACAGACTTCCTCAACCAAGGTTAGGATTTATTTCACCCTTTGAGAAACTATGGAACATAAAACCTACAGTTAGCTACTTTCGAGTATTTGGTTGTGTATGTTATGTGTTTGTTCCTGATCATTTACGGAGCAAGTTTGACAAGAAAGTTGTTAGATGTATCTTTGTGGGATATGACAGCCAGAGAAAGGGGTGGAAATGTTATGATCCAATGAGTGGAAGATGCTACACATCACGAAATGTGGTATTTCATGAAGCATCTTCTTGGTGTCCTCAGAGAATGAGGTGTTGCCAGATTCGAGAGAATTTGGAGACAAGTTACAACAAAAGATGGGGGAGCATATTGTTCAACTCCAAACAAGTTCAAATAAATCAAGAGATCCAAATGACGATGATGTTGAACAAAGAGTGACTCAGAATCCTTGGCAAACTGGCATGTATCAACAACCAAACGAAGAAGATGGGCCTAGTGAAACAGAAGAATCAATTCCACAATCTCAACTCCGAAGGTCAACAAGAATACGAAGACCAAATCCTAAATATGCCAATGCAGCTATAATTGAAGAAGCAACAGAGCCTGAGACATTCGAAAAAGCATCGTAGAGTTCTGAGTTGATGACAGCTATGAAAGAAGAGATCGATGCACTTCAGCAAAATCAAACTTGGGATCTTGTGCCAAAGACAAAAGATGTGAAACACATATCTTGCAAATGGGTTTACAAGATAAAGCGTCGTCCAAATGGGTCAATTGAGAGGTAATAGGCACGATTGGTAGCTCGTGGTTTCTCTCAACAGTATGAACTAGACTATGATGAAACATTTAGTCCAGTGGCAAAACTTACAATCTTACGAGTCCTACTTGCACTTGCAGCCAACAAAGATTGGAATTTATGGAAGTTGGATGTAAATAATGTTTTTCTTCATGGAGAGCTATATCGAGAGATCTATATGACCCAATCAATGGGATTTCAGAGCCAAGATCATCCTAAATATGTGTGTAAGCTGCGAAAAGCACTCTACATATTGAAACAAGCACCTAGGGCGTGGTATGGTAAAATTGCTGAATTTCTAACGAAAAGTGGCTATTTAGTAACACCTGCAGATTCTATCTTGTTTGTCAAAGCCAATGAAGGTAAGCTATCTATCGTTCTAGTGTACGTGGATGACTTAATCATAACCAGTGATGATGAGGTAGAAATTCTTCAGACGAAGGAGAATTTATCAGTTCGTTTCCAGATGAAGGAACTTGGACAACTTAAGCACTTCATTGGTCTAGAGGTTGACCGCACACATGAATGAATATTTTTTTGTCAAAGATTTGTTGAAGAGGTTTGGAATGCCTGAATGCAAGTCAATTTCGACACCAATGGAACCAAATGCCAAAATGTGTGCACATGAAGGAAAAGATTTAGAAGATACGACAATGTATCGACAATTGGTAGTTAATCTGATCTACTTAACCTTGACTCGACCTGGCATTTGTTATGCAGTTGGCGTGATGAGTCGGTATATGTAAAATCCAAAGAAGCCTCATTTGGAAGCAGTTCGACGAATACTGAGATATGTTAAGAGTGCAATTGACTATGGTCTTTTGTACAAGAAAGGTGAAGAATGCAAGTTAGTTGGTTATTGTGATGCTGATTATGCAGGAGATCATGACACTAGGAGATCAACAACTGGGTATGTGTTTAAGCTTGGCTCCGAAACAATTTCTTGGTGTAGTAAAAGGCAACCAACGGTATCATTGTCAACCACTGAAGTTGAGTATCGAGCAGCAACAATGGCAGCTCAAGAGAGTTCATGGTTGATACAGTTGATGAATAATCTACATCAACCAGTAGATTATGCAGTTCCATTGTATCGTGACAATCAATCAGCAATTTATTTGGCAGAGAATCCAGTCTTTCATGCAAGAACTAAACATGTTGAAGTGCATTATCACTTTATCAGAGAAAAAGTTCTGCAAGAAGAAATCAAGATGAAACAGACCAAGATGGATGATCAAGTTGTAGACCTATTCACAAAAAGTTTGAGTTCAGGCAAGTTCAAAATATTTCGTTGTCAGCTCAGCATAGTGAAAATAGTGAGAGCTGGTGTTGAGGGGGAGTGTTAAAAATCAACCCCAACTCATTACAAAGCACAACATACCCAAATAAATTTGATGTCTTTGCTTACATCAATTTAGGTGAAGATGTCATTGCTTACATCAATTTAATGGAGTAGGTGGTAATAATGTATGGCTATGAATATTTCTCAATTTAATATTTGTATAGTGTAGGTTTCATGGTGAGGACTATAAATACCCCCTTGCATTTGAATTATGCATCCTCCAAAAATTTGAGTGTAGTGTCTTGAGTATAAGTTGTGAGCTTTCTATTGAGTGTTTATTTCTCTTCAAATTGTGAGTGGCCTTTGGAAAGTGTTGTAGTGTCTTTTATTGTCAGTATAATACAAGTAATTTGTTTACTTGTTTGGGTCCAATATTAGTAAGGTTAGAGTTGTATACTCTAAAGTTTACTCAACAAAATGCTTGAATTTCAGCTGGCCATCAGCAACTAACCCTTTTATAGGTGCCACATACTCCCATATCTGCGGTTTTGCATCTTATCTCTGCATATCTGGCAAAAGAACCATAATGAATTTTTGTTAACTAGTCAAATACAGAGAATAATGGTAATATAATCGTATGTTACAGCAACACTCATACTTGCAGACCCATCACATCGTCTGTTTCCATGATCTTATTGTGTTACTGTCAATGGAATTTAGTGTAATGTGTTGCATGATCTTATTTTTATTCTTTAAGAATATGCTTGCTGAGATATTAGTTTCTTAAATATTAAGACAAGTCTGTAGTAACCAAATATTTCAACCTAATACACAGAAACTCACACCTCAGTATCAACTGTCAAGTACTTCTTATTTTGTTTTCTGGTGTTTTATGATCAGTAAATAAAATACTAAGATAAAATGCTACATGACTGGGCTAAATCGATGTTGATTGTTATACAGTTCTGAATTTGCTCAATATAAAGTAACAAGAAAATTTGAAAGACTTTCCTAACTCAGAATGAGTTCTAAAATTTTACTGTCATGCGTAATAATGAATAAATTTCGCAAGAGTAAAAGAAGAACCAATTTCATAGATTTGTATTTCACTAAAATTGCTATGGATTTCTCATCGATTCATATTTCAAGTATCAATTCAACAAAAGTTTCACAAAAACCACAGATTCAAAGATGCGTTCATTGAATTGAAAGAAACAAAGAAAGCACCAAAAAAAGGAACATAAAAGCTCACTTTTTCGATCGTTCATTTCAAAGGAAACCATTTTGCTGATTCTTTAGATACCGGTTACCTTCAAAGAGCAAACCAAATAAAAAAACATAATCATGAGAGAATCAGAAAACAGAATTAAATAATTAAATACAGATCTAAAAGAGTAGACAGTCTTCATCAATAGAGGAAGAAGAAGAAGAAAACAAATCTCAAATCCAAAATTTGTTTTTTTACAAAGGAAAAAAAGAAAGTATTTTCTCAGAAATTAAACAAAGAGCGAAGAGAAACACCTTTGTGAGAGTGATTTCAGATAGGGTGACTAACAAAGTGACTGGCGGTGCGACAGTGGTGACTAGAGGCGCGACGATGATGATTGGCGCACTGTGTTGGAGAAGATGTTCTACTAGAGAATGGAGGAAGAAGTTTTAAAGAAGATGTTCAAAAGATTTAGGGATCGGTTAAGGCTGGAGATATATTTATCCTTTGGAGGCATTTGTTATACAAACGCCATTATTTACGTGTCTATTGTGTCGTTTCTATGAAAAACGCCACTATTGTACAATTTTATCACTGCGTTTTTATAAACGCCACCTTTTTTCTTTTTAGCGGCGTTTTTTCTGAAAATGCGGCTAAAATTAAATGACAATTGTTACATTTAGTGGTGTTTCTTAAATAAATGCCGCAATATGTACAATTCTAACGACGTTTTTTAAAACGACACCAAAAATATGTTTATAACGGCGTTTTTTGGAAGCACGCAACTATGTTATTATTTTGTGGCGTTTAGCTTTTAAACGTTGCGATATTTATAAAATTAACGGCGTCTACTCTATAAACAATACTACAAACCTGTTTTGTTGTAGTGAATATTTTTTGTTAACCGTTCCAACCAATCTTTCTTCGTCGAGTCGAGAATGTTGTATGAAAAGTTTAAAGGGAAAATGTAATGATTACTAGTGAGACTAATTAAAAGTCTAAAAACTATATTGCTAGCAACAAATCCTAAAGTTTTCAGCACAAAAGGTTTATTATCTCCATAACTGTATGAATTTATGTGGATATTTCGCAGGAGAAATAGAAGATTCAGTAGTGTTAAGACAAAGTAATACAACATAACTATTCAACACACCAAAGTACAAATAAAAGAATGGCAGCCTCGATATGATGCAAAAAATCTGCGAGTGGTCATCACATAACAGCCATACAAAGTGGAATTATCAACAAACCTAGAGATAGAAAGAAAACAAATCATAAAAAATGAAAATAACAAGAAAGCTACTGTAAATTGGACTGACATGAGAAAAGGGAATTTGAAATGAAGCAGCAAAACCAACCACAAATTAAAGTAGCAATCAACTTAAGACACGAGGAAAAACAAAATGCAATTATCATTAAATATGAAAATGAAACAGCAGTTTTATTGCAGAAGAAACAGAAAAACATCGAGCAGGCGATGGACTTTGAAGAGGAGAGAGGGTCCATGGTGTTTTGGAGCTCGAAGATAGGTTTAAAGTTGAAGAGTTGATCGGTCAATCTGTCAAGTAAGCGGTCAACGGGCTAAGTAAGTGGTTTACAGATCAACTCAGCTTTTTGTCATCCAAGTTAACGTTGAGTGATTATTTTGTTACAAATCAATAAGATTAATAATTAATTTGTAATTTTTGAAAGTTTAGTGGGAAAATACAAAAACTTACACAAAGTTTAGTGACCATTTGTTGTAGTTTACCCTAAAAATAAAGAGGGAAAATCACAATAACGCGCTGTTGATCTGAAAGGAGCTCAGGATCAACCTCGTATCACAAAAAATAATGAATTAATGGGAATTTTCTCACTCAAATCACAAAATAAACCCTATAATTCTCTTGCCCTATCCATCACTTAAAGCCTTGGTGACTTCAAATCTTTGCCTCAACCCCACAACTCTGTCGTCTTCTTCAACTGTCTCTTTCAAAACAGTTATTCATGAAGCTTCCTCTCTTTCATTTTACGGAAAACATTCTCAGTTCCCTCTGCAAATTTGGTCCACTTTTCCATCTTTTGACATCCAATATGAAGAGCTTTTCCCAAAGAGAGAGTATTCTTTTAGGCTATAGTCCTCCGAACACACCGGATATAGACTTCAACGATGTGTTTGGAGGTCCGCCGAGGGGGTCATCTGCTCAAGAGACACGGCACCGTTTCAGTGGTGACACGGATTCTTATTCACCGTCCGGATTTGGAAGCAGCGATGAAACGTCGTATTGTGCATCGCGGTTGTCGGGTTTAAGAGAGAAGGCAGTGTTCGGGGAAGAAGGGAGAAGGCAGTGGAGAAGCGATTTCTATGATGATATATTTGGAGGGAATGAGAGCTGTTCTCCCAGCAAGTATGAAACCAAGGAGACTTTTGCATTAAGTCAAGCTAGGTTGCCTTTTTCTACTTCTTTGCCTACTCGATTCAGGTTATGCTTTTACCTTTTTTTTTCTGCCCTCCATGTGTTTTACTTTGTTACACAATACAAACCACCAAGCTCCAGTTTAAGCCTTAAAGATGGGGAAATACTGTTGGGTGGCTTCTTTCACTTGTTTCTTACTTATGTTCAATCTTCAAGTTTATGTTTTGCTATACTTCTAGTTTAATATGTGATTTAAAAATATTTAGTTAGTGGGATTCTCGAGTCTTATTTTATGACTCAAACTTTATCTTAATATCTTTCCATACTCATATATCATTTAGAGTTGAAGGATTCAACTTAACCTTGAAAATCAATCTGTTAATTATTAAAAATTTTAAGTTATTCGAGTCTTATTTTATAACTTAAATTTTATTTAATTTTTTTTCAAGTTAAGTTTATGAGATTATAAGCCGAGTCAAATCAAGTCTTAACGTTGAATCAAATAATTTTTTTAATTATTTCAAGTTGAATCTAAATTTGATCCCTTGAATTTAATAGTATTTTTTATAATAAAAAAAGACTCCTTGTTAGTAAATCCAAAACCATAAACATTTTAGTTGCTATTGATGATATGAATTTTCTTTGTTCTGTTTTTTTATCATTATGTTTAACTAATGATATATTTTTATGTCAACCTATTTTGATTAAGCAATTTTAATATATATATGTGTGTGTGTATATATATATATATATATATATTTCAGTTTAATATAAAAGATAAGAGTTAACTACATGATTGATTACTTATGTTTATATTTTATCCACTTTCCCTTATTGATTTCAAAAAACATAATATTTGGTCACTTTCATTTTTATTTAATTAAGATATGATCACTTTCATTTTTATTTAATTAAGATGTGACCACCATTGGTTAACTGTCATTAATAGTTAATAGATTAGGTGACATGGTATTTTGGTATAATCACACATTTGGTCTTTGCTATTTACATAATAAAATATATTTTTTAAAAGTTTATATAAGAATAAAATATATATCTTTAAATAAAAATAAAAATAAAATAATTTAAAATTAAGTTAATAATAAATATATTTAATAAGTTACTATAACAAAATATTTTTAAAGTTAATATATATAAAATATTATAAATTTAAGTTATGTATTTATACACTAACATACAAAATATATACATCATGTTCTCTATTTTAGACCAAGCATTGGTTTTGGCTCCATAGTTAGGTACAACTTGGTTTCCAAGTGATCCAAGTTCTAAACTCTTTGATCCTAATTTTCTTTTCTTTAATAAATTAAAATAAAATTAGTTCTCCCACCGAATAGTGACACATGACATTATTCAATTGGATGATTAAATTTATTTTAATTTATTAAAAGTATAACTAAATTGAGAGAATGCATAAATAATAATGATATAAATAATAATGATATAAATAATAATGATCAAATATGTGATTATACCAAAATATTTAATTGAAGTTAACTCTTGATGATCACATCTTAATTAAATAAAAATAAAAACGACCATATATTATATTTTATGAAGTGATCAATCATAAGCGGTCGATTGTATAATTAACCCAAACAAATAATCATATTATCAATTAGAAATTATAACATATTATAATTATGCAGTTATATAAATCTAAAATTTAAATAATATTAGTCATAAATCGCAAGTAATTATGTATGTAATTTCATAAATTCGCAAGCTTTCCTAAAAATTGAAGAAGACTTTCAAAATTTATATTGAAAAGTCAAACATATGAAATCGGTTACTAAATTCACTTGTCGTGTAAGTTTCCAAATGCATCTTTTGAACTCTCTTTTTGTCTCACTCAGGCCCGTCCCAGCCCCCTCTTGCCAAGGGCCCAAAATTGTAATTTCACATATAATTAAAAAATGATAATTATTTATTTGGTCACTGACTTGTTATACTAATTTTTATTTTGATCATTAAACTATTATTTTTTTCAAACCATATTTAATCGTATATTCTGTTTCTTTTTTTATTATTCACCATTAGAAAATTAACGCAATGTTGATGTGATATTTTTAAATTACTTTTTTTACTTTTCATTTAATTATTCTTTTATTATTTTTTTACAAGATGAAGAAGATTAAAATCTAACATGTACCATTTTAAAAGATGATCATGCTTGTTTTGTGTGAGTAATTTGGCGTTTAATAAAATTTATTATAATTTATTATTTTAAATTTAATGTATTTATTAAATAATTTATTAAACATAATAAAAAATCAATTAACAAGCAAATTGATTTAGTTTTGTTTCTTCTTTATGATTCAATTTTTTATACTTATTATTAAGAGTCTATTTCTATATTTATCCGATCACTAAAATCTCATAAACGGATTTGGTATCACTCAACTAACTAAACACATAAGTTGAAGGATTGTTAAGAGTGTTTAGGCTTTCATAAAATTTGATGTTTACATTTGGCGCCTTGAATTCCCCAGAGGAATGGAGGTCCCCACATATGGCTCTCCTACACCTACTCGTACCACATGGAGAAGCAAGGATGGATCTTCAACTCACTATGCTTCTTCTCCTCTCTCAACATTCTCAAATCAACAAAAAGTGGAACCCAAGAATGATTTTCAATCATCGTATCCACTCAGTGCCTTGTCTCATGAGTTATCTACTGCCAATCAAGTTGAGGATTCAATAAACTTGACCAACCACCATCAAACAGAGGAAATGGTAAATTCCGTTAGGGGAAATGGTAAACTCCAAGAAAACAATAGACTGCAGAAGTGCTCAAGTGCTAAGGGATGGACCTCGTGTGAAAATATGGCAACGGAATCGATATCAGAATTGGATAATAGTTTCAGGTCTACTGATAGAATGTCGGCAAATGCTAAATCTTTTAGAGTTGAACGTGACGATAATGCAACTTTAAGCTCTCGAATCCATTCAAGAACCGAAGACAGAGAAAGGGTTCAATTCATTCGGGAAGACGACACTCCCAAGTCCGAACCTGAAATAGATGTGTGTGATAAACAAGAGAGTGAAACTAAAAAGGCTCACACTAAAACTCTGGAATTGCTTTTCCATGATGATGACCACTACCAACGAGGTATGTAGTATTCGGATTCGGGTTGGAATCGACGGTCACTTTTACGATATGATCCGGTGCTTATGTGCTACTATTTCTTATATGCTGTTTTCTTCTATATTGTATAGGCAATGATGGGGTGAGTAAAAATTACGGAACAAAAGACATTTCTGAAAAGAGTAGGAAGAAGTTATATGAAATTCTAGATGATGAAAACGTCAAGAAACCTGATACTCCCAACATGGAAGGCAGTACAAGAAGAGTAAAGGGTTTCCCTAGGAACTCGGGGGATAACGGGAAAGGCAGAGTTAGAGGAAAGATTAAAGATTTCATTAAAATCTTCAACCAGGATGCTACACCAAAGCCTAAACCAGACACTGTCCGTGAGACTCGTGACTCTAGACGCCCAGAAAGACATTCGATCAAGCCGGAGTATGAACCGAGTGATGGTGTCACTGATAGGGTGGTGAAATTTCGCATGCCTGACAAGCAAGAGAAGAAATCATCTTCCCAAGTTATTATCGCGAGCCATATGTTTAAAGGTGCAGCTGAAAAGGAAACAAATACCTCAGTAACGGATCCTGGTTAGTTTATCTATTGTTCCTGTATCCTGGTTTTGGAGATTTCTCTGTGGCATGCAAATTTCATTCAAAATTAACCCTTTTTCTTCTTCTATTATCTGTGTTGCCATTAGTTTCTAACGGCTTCAACACTATTATTGAAGATCCAACAGACTCGATCGACGAAAACTTCACCGTATGCTTTTGGTTTATATCTATTTGTACAATTCCTATAGAATGGTTGATGTTCAATGTTATTTACTCTATCCAAATTATGATGCCACATGCTTATGGACAGATAGAAGACTTGACACCAGAAGAGAAAATTTTCCCAGATTTCGGCATCGACCCTGAAGAAATCAAGGTAATACTAGAAGCTGAGAAACCTATTTTGCTTCACATTTTTCAGCCGATAACTTCATTTAATGCAGGCCATTGATGCAAAAATACAGCAATGGTCAAGTGGGAAAGGAGGAAATATCCGTTCATTGTTGTCAACCTTACAATATGTAAGTAAAAACGTCTCCCATGTTAATCTCCAAGATCATGCAGGCCAGTAAAGAACTTTCTTGTGTCTGTTAAAGACTAACGGTGGCTACAAAAGTAGGTCCTTTGGCCTAATAGTGGATGGAAGGCGGTGCCTTTGGTGGACATAATTGAAGGGCCTGCAGTGAAAAGATCATATCAAAAGGCTCTAATGTGTTTACATCCAGATAAACTACAGCAGAAGGGTGCCGCCTCTGGTATAAAATACATGGCAGAAAGAGTGTTTGATGTTCTACAGGTAATCCATGCTTATGATCATCCATCCACTTGTTGATAGAAATCATGGCTATACCTCCTACTGATTTACCTTAACATTTGAAAGCTCAGGATGCGTGGACTCATTTCAACTCACTTGGTTCGGTGTGATTTAACATGTAGTAAAATTAGCGCAAGGAGAATGAATGTACAGAATAATTTCATTCATACTATACATCATTTTTAGTGGTTATATGCTGTGCACGTGTAAGTGTGTATGTAAGAGAAAATATTTTTTAAAATCAAACCGACGCTAAATTTTAAAGTCATCTACGTATTTTGATCGTAATATTTTATATTTATAAATTTTATGTGGATTTTGAATTATTTGTTGCGTAGTAGTAACTTTTAATACTAGTTGTGACCCAGCAATAATTTAACCTGCTTGTCTTTGTCTTTGTCTTTGTCTCGGGCTTTGGTTAGGAATGTGATTTTTTAATTAGGTGATCGGTCATGATTCACAAATGTCACGTAGAGAGACGACGATGAGCGGAATTGAGGATAAAAAGAACAAAATAAGAGGGCTCAATTATTATTTTACCAATTTTGTTAATTCTCAATTTAACATGGATAATTTTGTAACTTGCTTATAGTTGGACGACTTAATTAAAAATAGGCTTAAAATAAAAATAAGTCCTCAAATTACACAATTTTTATTTAGGCGCCTAAAGTATTTTCATTCAATTCAAGTACCTAACATTATAAATATTACAATTTTAAGTGTTCTGACCATAAAGACCGTTTAAAAAATTTTGTTAAGTGACATATGTCATATTTACATGATTTTTAAAATTTTATTTAAAAAATTATAATTATAATTTTAAAAAACCTCAAAATTTTCTCAAATCTTAAAAAACCCCAAAAACTTTGAAATCCTAACTCCAATCCTTATACTTAAGTTGGTCGTCGCCCTTTGTCGTCGTCGTTATTGGTGGTGCAAGCAACGACTAGAAAGACAACTATTGAAAAAGGAGATGACAATGGTGGCATTGACGTCGACATAGACAATCGTGGCTTAAAGGGAGAAATTAGGGTTAGAGTTAGGAATTTGAGATTTTTTTATAATTTTAGAGAAATTATGGATTTTTTAAAAAGAAATATTTTTATTTTTGTAGACATCCGTTTTTGTCCGGGTTTTAAAAAAATTATTTATTTATTTATTATTATTATTATTATTATTATTATTATTATTATTTTATTATTATTTTTATTAATTATATTAATTATTTTGTAGGCCTATTTTCACGTGAGCATGCAATAAAGTGGTTGCACGTTGACCCCATTTCCATCACAAACACTACCCACCTACTCCACTAAACCTACATACCACCATAAATAAAAGGGGGAAACAGATAAAAAAAAAAAAAAGGGAGTGGGGATCTACTAGTAACTTAGTGGGGACCCTCCAAAAACTTGTTATTTAAAGATGGGGACGTGCAAACCATGGGGGAAGCATTTCGTGGGAGGAAAAAAGAACGCCACCATCTTCTCCGTTCTGCTTAAGCCCCTTAATTTTCCAGAGGCAAAAAAAAAAAGAATTGAAGAGAGAGGTGCTATAACCTCTTTGATCCGAGTCTCAAACCTCCGTCCAATGATGACTCCGTCGTGAAACCGCCGAATCAAGCTCTTCCACCTCTCGTCGAAGCTGCCTAAGACAGAGCTTTGAAAGGGAAGCTTCGAAAGGCCAACATAAAGTCCATTCTTTCCTCCGAGATCATGGACATCCCCAGCAGAGTCAACAAGTTGTCGCAACCGTCTTTCAGGTGGGCCCTGAAATTAAACTTCGACTTAAGAAAATAATATGGAGTCGTCACCGATCATTTATCTAAAATAAATAGGTTAATCGGGTACCTTATTTATTACTTAATCTGCGTCTTACCAGTGATATGTCAGATTCGAGAGTCGGTTACAGTCAAGGAAGGGTAGCACCCTGCCCTTTCGGTACTACGAAATTTTCAGTTGTCTTTAATTAAGAAAATTAAAAGTTTAACTTAAAAGGTAAAATAACGAACTGAATTGCTTACCTTAGATTGATTGAAAAATATACCCTTCAAAAGTCAAAAGACATGTTAGAGAAAAAAAATAAAGTAAATAATAAAGAAAGTAAGAACGTATGAAATAAAGAGAATAATAAAAAATAAAGAAAAATCAAAATATAGCAAAGATACAAATGAATAAGATAAATGAAAAAATAAATAATAATAATATATACATAGCAAACAACCAAATAAAAATAAGAAGATAATGAAAATAACGGAATAAAATATAAAAGAAAGAAAAATAAAATATAAAAAGGTAAAAAAATATATAATAAAAAATATACATAAAACAAAGAAATAAAAATAAGACATATACTAAATAAATAAATAAAAATAAAGTGAAAATAGTAAACACAATAAAAAATGAAATGGATAAAATAAATAAAAATATATAAATATAATTATGGTAATAATAATAAAATAAAAAAATGGAAATAATAATAATTTATATATATATATATATATATATATATATATATATATATATAATATATATATATATATATATATACGTTAATAGTATAATATATATATATATATATATATATATATATATATATATATGTATATATACAATATCTTTAAACAAGGTATAAATAAAAATAATAATAATAATAATAAATATTAAAATAAAAAGATAAAATAAATAATAATAAAAAGGATAAATCGAGAGATGGGGTTAAATTGAGAAGAAAAACGAATTGAGTGATCAAATTAGAATAAAATCAAAGTTTTAAAATAGGTTTTGAGATCAAAATAACATAACTTCAAAACCGAAGGGGCCAAAAGGGTAGTTTATCCTATTTTCTTAAAAATACACGGGTCTGGGATGGCAAATGGGTCGGGTCGCATGGGTCAGATGGGGCAATTATAAATGCTAAAAAATTTAAAAATCTTCATTTTCTCTTCTTGTCTAAGCCAAAGCCCCCCTTCTCCTCTTCATTGTTCTTCAACCTGAAGAACTGACCACCGCCTGAGTTCATGAGAACCCAGAACACGACCAATGCCGCCTCGCTGGCCGCCGGTCATCGGCGGCGAACATAAAATTTTTTACCTTTTTTTGAAAGCCCTCAACTCCCTCGTTTTGAAAACCAAAGTATTTTCTTCAAAAAACAAGCCTCGGGGTGTAGATTTGGGTTCGAAAACTTCGAACCCCACCCCTGTTCATTGGCTTTTTAGCTTATTTGGGGTTTTTCCTAGCCAAATCTCAAAAGAAATACACGTGAAAACGAAAACGAACAACAAGGTGAGAAAAAACTACCTTTTTATTTCCTTTTGAATCGATTACAATAGCTTCGATTTGCCTCGTGATTTTTGAGTATTTTGTGAGTAAAGCTCTCTGTTGGAATTTTCGGACGCTCGAATCGACAGCCGAAACGGTTTGCAAAGAGGGGTCGGAACAGTTTTTATGTTTAAGGAGTAAGGAGATTGAAAGATAGAAAATTGCACAGTGATTTAGAGTGGTTTGAATTTCTCCACCAAAGTCTACGTCCACCACCTTAGCTCTTCACCAAGGATTTTCCAATAAATTCATTAATTTGTTCTTTCTTTTGAGGAAAAAGAGATAACTTACAACTCCCTAGTTTTTTCGGGCTAAACTAGAACCTTTCCCTGACTTTTACACGTGATTAGCTAGAACATTTCCCCTTTACAAAATGATAAGAGATGTAAACAAGAAAACCTCTCAAAGGTAGGTGTTTACAAGAATTAAGCTCACAAGAACAAATATTTATAAGATAAAGATGAAATAAGAATGAAAAACTTCTTCTCTTGTGTTTGATTGCTTGGATAGTTGTTCTCTTGCTTTTTCAAGTGTCATTAGCTTGTATTTATAGCTTGGAATGAGTTTGAAGTCGTATATAGCGTTGGGGATGATTTTTCTGCTCAAAAAGGCTGCCTAAGATAGGGGGTATCGGTACCTCTTCATAGGGTATCGGTACTACTTCATAAAATTCAAATTAAACTAGTCGTTGCAGCCAGGGGGTATAGATACCCTGGGGGTATCGATACCCGGGGTATGGATACCCCTGGGGGGTATAGATACCCTCCGAGCAATATGGAATTTGAGCCTTCAGGGGGTATGGATACCCCTGCAGGGGGTATCGGTACCCTATAGCATTTTTGCTCAAATTTGAATTTTAATGGACTTTGAATTATTTTTGAAACCTTTTAAAACTTTGAATAAATTCAATTAAGTCCAAAAACATTTTGTAAATTCAATTCAAGTCCAAAAATCATTTTGCCTTAAATTGTTATATCAAAACATAGTTCAACAATCTCCCCCTTTTTTATATAACAAAACATTTGAAAAATTATTTTTGACAAAACTCCCCCTTAATAAAACGTTTAATGAAAAAGATACTAATTGTTACAAAAGGATACTAATTGTTAAAAAGATAACCAATTGTTACCAATTGTTGGAAAATATATGAAAATGTTAAGCTCCCCTTTTTCATTAAGAAATTGAATTTTTTTCAAACCAAAACTTCTCCCCCTTTTTGTTATATCAAAAATAATTCAATCTTTAAAGTTCAAAATAACTTTGGAGAGTAAGTGATAAATTTGACATTTTAAAAATCATTTGAAAAATCAAAGCTCCCCCTCAATAAATGCATTTCAAACAAAAATTAAGCTTTAAGGTCTTGACACTTTAAAAAAATTGAATTTCAACAAAGAATAACAAACATGTTAGTAGGACATGAAATTCAATGTATCCAAGTCTAAAATACTTTATGCAATACCAATTGTTGAAATTTGATATTAATACCAATTGTTTAAAATTAAGTGCATTTGCATAAAGTTTTCCAAAAATGTTATGCATTTTGAAATTTTTGATATCAATTGTTAGAGATATATCATTTTCATTTAAACCATATGCATAATCATTTAAATTTAGGTCAAAAATTTAAAATTTGTAAATTCAAAACATTTGAAAAGTTGATATCAATTGTTAGAGAGATATCATTTGCATTTAAAACTAATTTTGACCAAAATTCATTATGATGAACTAAAAATTCTGAAAAATTATTAAAAGATTAAAATGTTCATCATAACTTCCTTTTAACATACATGAGATTAAAAATAATACATAATTATTTAAAATCAAAACTCATGTATGCTTAAAATTAAATGAGCAACCAAA